ATAGCTGTCGTAAGCGACGGAAAGGCTTCAAGGAATCCAAAAAACGGCACGCAACCCAAAACCAAAGATCCATCCGCCAGACTATTTCGGGGTAGTGTTGCATTCGGAACGGGACGTCAACGAAGCTTTGTTATCTGTCAGAGCCCCGGCTCGTTTCACTAGCGATTGCCATTTTAGGGGTCGTCCCGGGTGTCCAGCCGTACTTCCCGACCCCTATCAGTCAGACAGTCTCGTTGCTTCATACTTTGCTGAAGAAACTAAGCGCTGTATGCCCGGGGCTGTTAAACTGGTCGCTAAGCGTTGGAGTTTGAAGTATGTTTTAGGTGGGGAGGGTTTTCGAACTAATAAACAAATTTATTATTATTTTAGAGTAATGTGCCGAACTAAACAGTTATTTTTTATTATTTTTGACAGTATTTTAAAGGAGCAAGACAACCAAATCCACATCAGCCGATCGCGGACAAAACAAGGCCATATCTCGCATGCAAATTTTTACATATTCCGCAGGATTTTTGACTTGCATTTCTGTTGCATCTACAGTAGCTAATTTGGCTCTTTATATTTCTCTTTGTTTCTTATATAACAGCTAACAATGTTACTGACACCATCATAGACAACACTTTGCAGGAACCAATCTGCATCCGCTCCCTCCTTCCCTGTACGTTTCCGTAAACAAGGCTTGCCCACTCAGCCTTATTGACTGTTCCGTCCTTCCTGGCTTCCTCTCCTCCCTCCGGATGCCATTCACAGCCAAAAACCACGTGCGTCCAAGTCGGATCCCCGCACTGCTGGTCCATAATTTGACCTGGGAACGGTGTACGGGCGGCGTCTAATCCAGCAAATCTTACCTTGTCAATAGGCAGATTAAAAAAGACGGTCTCCGTCTGATTTTATATTTACTCGTTCACTGAGTGGGTTCTGAGCGTGCCAGTCAATATAAGGTTGTAAAGATTGCATAGATAAATTAGGCCTAATTACCGTATCTCTTCTCAGGGGTTTTAATTAGTTTAGGCCGAGAAAAATTCACTTGGTTGGTGGACATACACGATCCTTCAAATCCTCTTTCCACGAACTAGCATTAGATGGCAAGTTAAATTAGAGGAAATACAGTATAGGTGCATAGGGCTAGATTGAAATGGATTAAAAATCATGTCAATACAAAGCATTCCGAGGATGTACACCGGAAATTGTTATTTAGGATGATTTTAAGGCTCCGAGTAAGCTTCTCCCGGCCTACCCGTTTCCGCACGTTCCATACGATAAATAACTTTGCAAAATCCGTCGAATAGTCCTTTTTAAAAATCACCTGATTTTTAGGGTACTGTAGAGGTTATTTACACTACACTCTCGGGCTAGGCCAGTCTTAGCCTGCCCCTATCTATTCGATTCTAGGCGTAGAAGCGAGAAGATAGGGGGTTAGGAAAGGCTAGGCAAGTAGCAGGACGAACCCTACACCGAAAGACAAGATATAGTCCGACTCGTTTGCCGAAAAGTACGAAATCTGTGACGGAGTACAAAACGTGGGTGCTGGGTTAATAAGCATGCTCATTAGAATAGGGTAGAGTGATGGTGCAGAAGTCTTGTCGGAGGACCGCTAGATTCTAGTCTCTATTGGTGGAGGTGGCAATTTTGCAGTGGCGGCCAATCATCGCCCAGTCACACTAATCCCCCCTAGGGCCAAATGGTGTTCTCGGTCTCCCCTTTCTCCTCCCCTCCTCTTTTGGTCAGACATGCCGGCTGTTTCTCAGGCATGAGGGTGATTCTTTCCAGAGGTAGACGGGTGGTTGTGAGGGGAAGATCAAAGGCAAGGTACCGCAAGGACTTAATGAGTTGTACGTTGTACCGAGACGTGTATTTTCTTGACACCTGCAATCAAGCGGAGGAGGGTGGGGGTTGATCGTAGATAGATCGGTTTGTTAAGCAGAATAAATATAGCAATTTTATGAGTAGAGTCTGGAAAAGAATGGAAATGAGATTTAAAAATGGCGATTCTAAGACATTCAAAATATTGGAGATTCTTAGGCTTAGATTTCGGTTTAAGCTAAAGCTTATGCTTAAGCTTAAGCTTAATCTATGCGTAGGCTCTCTCGCAACGCCTCAATTTGTTCCCTAATCCGTAAAATAGAATCACTAAACACCAACATCATTTGTGCCCATTTGTGCACTCGCCGGAAATCGCGCCGACCAAGTACATAGTGCGATTTTGCAGACGCTCTCAAGGTTTCTTTACCCTCCTTCAAGTACGCTACGTTTTCTTCTTGTGCTCAAGCGTGAGATTAACCAATTGGAGTGAAAGTGTTACCCGATCCCTAGATAATCCCCACCAACTAAAAAGGCAGACTGATTACCCAGAGTTTCTTTCCGACCCAATTACAAGTACAAGAAACGGCAATTATCCGGCCTACAAACTGTGCTGCCGCGGGGGAAACTACATCGCCGGCGCAGGTGATGGGAAATGCGTGAGTTTCAAGAGCTAGGAGAAGATCAAAGTATTTATTAGGGAAAGTGAGAATATTCATAAAATATATTTAAAAAGAAAAAGACGAAAGAGATAACCGAATTAAACCCGAATGCATAGCATCACAAAAGCAGTTTTAGGCAGTGAAAACTATATATAAAAATACTATATATAAAAAAATAGTGTCTGTGTGTTTGTGTGTGTGTGCCACTTTGCATGCAACTTCCGTCAGGGTGTCCGGAGGATATCTCGAGAGGGAAAGGGTTTTAAGCAACGTATGATGCGTCATTAGGTGCGTAATGGCGCTGAGATGAATGCACATACATCAGATTTTGCAAATTATGTTATTTTCGACGTTAAAATGAAGTTTTTGCTAGAAAATGGAGCACCCACTTTGTTAGGAATGCATTAGCATATGCCGGAAATGGCGCGATCCTATATAAAGGGCGCAGGGAGTGATTTTCATTTTTTTGTCATCGGAATTCGCGAGAACCAGCCGATTACAGCCGCTTCGCGACTGCAATCGGCTGGACTTCGGGCCACCCTCCATATTCTACACCACCACATTTAATCCCTACCTTACGCTGATGCCTTCATGGCAATAACTACACTGATGGCTTCAGATACCTCCTCTAGCCAACCCCCCACAAAAACATAGCTACCTTCCCGATGGCTTCAGATACCCCTCCGGGTCGAAATTCCGTTAAAAATCTACCAAAATACCTCCCTGATGGCTTCAGATATCCCCCATGGCTGAAATCCCCTTCAAAAACTACTTAGATACCTCCCTGATGGCTTCAGATACCCCCATGGCTGAAATCCCCTTCAAAAAACTACCTAAATCCCTTCCCGATGGCTTCAGATACCCCCCATGGCTGAAATCCCCTTCAAAAACTACCTAAATACCTTCCTGATGGCTTCAGATACCCCCCATGGCTGAAATCCCCTTCAAAAACTACCTAAATACCTCCCTGATGGCTTCAGATACCCCCCATGGCTGAAATCCCCTTCAAAAACTACCTCAATACCTTCCTGATGGCTTCAGATACCCCCCATGGCTGAAATCCCCTTCAAAAACTACTTAGATACCTCCCTGATGGCTTCAGATACCCCCCATGGCTGAAATCCCCTTCAAAAACTACCTAAATCCCTTCCTGATGGCTTCAGATACCCCCCATGGCTGAAATCCCCTTCAAAAACTACCTAAATACCTTCCTGATGGCTTCAGATACCCCCCATGGCTGAAATCCCCTTCAAAAACTACCTAAATCCCTTCCCGATGGCTTCAGATACCCCCATGGCTGAAATCCCCTTCAAAAACTACCTAAATACCTTCCTGATGGCTTCAGATACCCCCATGGCTGAAATCCCTTCAAAAACTACCTAAATACCTTCCTGATGGCTTCAGATACCCCCATGGCTGAAATCCCCTTCAAAAACTACCTAAATCCCTTCCCGATGGCTTCAGATACCCCCCATGGCTGAAATCCCCTTCAAAAACTACCTAAATCCCTTCCCGATGGCTTCAGATACCCCCATGGCTGAAATCCCCTTCAAAAACTACCTAAATACCTTCCTGATGGCTTCAGATACCCCCATGGCTGAAATCCCTTCAAAAACTACCTAAATACCTCCCTGATGGCTTCAGATACCCCCCATGGCTGAAATCCCCTTCAAAAACTACTTAGATACCTCCCTGATGGCTTCAGATACCCCCCATGGCTGAAATCCCTTCAAAAACTACCTAAATCCCTTCCCTGATGGCTTCAGATACCCCCCATGGCTGAAATCCCTCCAAAACTACCTAAATCCCTTCCCGATGGCTTCAGATACCCCCCATGGCTGAAATCCCCTTCAAAAACTACCTAAATACCTTCCTGATGGCTTCAGATACCCCCCATGGCTGAAATCCCCTTCAAAAACTACCTAAATCCCTTCCCGATGGCTTCAGATACCCCCCATGGCTGAAATCCCCTTCAAAAACTACCTAAATACCTTCCTGATGGCTTCAGATACCCCCCATGGCTGAAATCCCCTTCAAAAACTACCTCAATACCTTCCTGATGGCTTTAGATACTTTAAATAATTTAAATAATTAATTAACATAATTAAAAAGTATTAAAAGTATTAAAGTAACTCAAAAAGGCATCTGGGCGCGCGAAGGGGCCTGGGGAAGAGGGGCGAAGAGAAAGGGGGCGTGGCCTCCCGGGGAGAGGGGCCCCCACTCGTTTTATTAAGGCGCCACTTTCAAAGTTAATTTTAATAATTTAAACAAAAACTTTTTCGTAATTTTTTTATCAGTTTGGGGGTTTCTGACCACGCTCTATCCGAATCCGAAGAGACCTAAGCTCTAGCTCCTTTCCCCTTCGAGTTGAATCCGGGACACGACGGACAGACAGACAGACGGACGCCTCTACTTTTTTATTATAGTTGATGATTATGCAAAATGAAGCATATTATGACGCTAGACGGGGGCCAGGGTTGAAAAGACGCGAAGCGGCTTTTCAACCCTGGTAATAAATAAAAAGAAAAGGTGAAACTACAAACCATCACTATAGCAATTTTCGGCACGTTGATCGCATATTGCCGAAAGCTGAATTCCACTATTTTCCTGAAAACAGGATAATTTTCTAGAAAACTGCATACCGTAACCCTGGAAATTCCATGGACAGCAGCCAATGTTCGGATCGGTTGCAAATCTACATGACCTCGCGCTTTTATCGCATCAATCAGCTTCTAGGATATTTTATAGCTTTTAAAACAGATTCGTACAAATGGCAGATCAATTTCAAAACGAGCATCACCGTACAACTGAGCCCAAACTCGTGGAGTATTTATCGCCGTCTCCAATGTCATCTGAAACTCGTGCTTTATTAAATCAAGCAACTTACGTTTAACGGATTTAATTGAGCAACAACTTGAGCAAGGGAGCCAAGGGCCTCTATTGACGCCTGTCCAGGCAAGAATACGGTAATTCCCTAAACTTTTAGCAGAAAGGGCGAGGAGGGACTTGCCTTATCATCGCTCCGTATTAATGGGCACATCAAGCTCTTTGCTCGTTTCCTAGGTTCCAACGAGTTCGCCGATTCTGGATCCGAGAATCCATCCAGTCCGTTATTCCAGACGATTCCAAGTTGTTCGGAGCGTTTCATGGCTCCAAACCTTGAAAAAGGTGAATTACAAGGGGTTGACTTACCCAGAACCTAAAGAAAGTCCTAGCGCGGCGGCATTACCGTCTCGATCTACGACTGCCAAAAAACTGGAAGCGCTTTGTCGAGTCTAAAATTTTGGAATTTCGATGACTAAGCTTTGTAAAATATGTTACCTGTTCAAGCTGCCGTCCGTAGTAAGGAGGCACTTTCACAAAATCGCTGATTTTTCTCGCCAGGCGCTCGTGAATTCCATCTTGGAGATGGTTGACGGAAAACGAGGATCTGCTGTAAATTCTTTATTCCTTTAGTTGTTTTCTTTATTCATATTTAATTTTTAGATTAAGTCCTTACCAACTTCCTGCAATCTTCCCAGCGAGAATTTTTCAGCCTCCAAGAGGCGATGGAAAAATTTATCCGGGCTGAGGTCGGTAGAATTTTTCAAGGATTCTAAAATTATATTTTAGCCGCTGGGGTTAAATAGATTGTTTAAATACCTTGTAAGACCGATAAAACGAGCAGGATGTAAGACGTTGCGGCAGGGCGGTGAGGACCGAAAATATGCATATTATTGATGGAGTCCGAACTGATCCTCGACACATGCGATACATAATTCACGAAATCGCTCTTCTGCAGAATTCCTCCTGAAATTAAATCCTTAGATTTTTTGGATACCTAGCCTACCATTTTGTTTCATTTCACGGATGATTTGATTGGCAATATCGCCGCGGTAAAACAATTGGACTGGATCTCGAGTTGTAGCTAACTACATAAAGTATACTAAATTTTGAAAAAGGGTGACATACGCGTCGCATCGTTTCCGCCAGCGTAAAATCGACCACGCTTGCATTCGGTTTTTGATTGAGGAATGCAAAGGTGCTAAAATTTTGTTAGTCTAATTTTATTACTAGGGTTACCGTAGGCTCGGCTCCGCAGCCAACCTATATTCATCTTTTTTGGAGTGCGTGTTTGAACGAACCTGCAATTTTGTTGACAATAGCGCGCTCTTTGCTTACCAGATCTTGTGAAGCCTTTTTGGAGGTGTTCAATGGTCGGTAATATTAACTTGAAAACAATGGATCACATTAAAGCATGGAAATACCTCAAGCCATCCGATAGTTCCGGAAGGAAACCTTCGAAATATTGACCAAAGGCCGTGCAGAACACCGGGTACAGAAATGGATTTGTAACCTAATAAAGTTAGCAGTACCGTAGGAAAAAGGTACCAGTGTCGCGATTTGATTCAGCATTAAACAAATTTTCCGTAGCTGTTTGCGCTGATATTTCCAAGGCATCGATCGAATATGCAAAGCCGGTTGATCTGAAAACAAAAAATATCATACAATTAACAATAAAGTGCTGCAGCGTCCAAATGGACTGTGCTCGCTCTAAATCTTAAAGGGACTGTGCCAACTCAACTTACTTTTCAAAAACTGTTCCCAACATTCCTCCCCCAAGGCCACTGCTATGGAGGTTCCAAAGCACATATGCAAAATGCCATCGCAATTGCTGATTCGACCGCATTTCCGCCTTTCCATAGAATCTTCCTAAACAAATTTTATTCTTTACTATTACAGAGTTCGATCCCTAAAAATTCTAGTTTCTCAGCAACAGACTTTCCAATTTCCGAGCAGTGTCGATTGGAAGAGATGACAGCAAAATGTTGATAAGTGACTGGTTTTGATAGAATTTCCGGAAATGGGCCAGGGGATTGGCGGTGTTCTGGTGGTCGGGGGTATCTGCAAACGTACTGTACTCGCGGAATATAGT